GGCTCCGCCTGGAGGCTGCTGCTGCTGCTGCTGTTGCTGTGCGGTGGCATGAACAAATGTCTCCGCCTGGACTGTGGGTTGATGCTGGTGAACTGGACAGCGGAGTTTGTACACAATAGCGATGGCAGAAATACCCCTTTATCTATCCAGCGTCAGTATAACTGTCACACATGATATGGACTCTGACAAGGTAAATTATATATTTGACTTCATTTAAATCACGCGTAACATTACACGTCTGAATAACTCGGATATATGTTTACATTTATTTTGAAACCCCAATCAATTATAATGAAAGTTGTAATGCACAGTTTTATTGTGCTGTTATCATTTTGGATTTAATTTAAGCATTCACATTGTGCCAGGAATTAAACAATGGTCATCCCTAACATAATAACGCTATACTAAACGTCTTAGTTTTTAATATAGCCTACGAATTGTTTGTTACATATTTACAACCTAAACCGGTCAGATTATAGCTAAAGGTCCGTTTCACCAAAAGTTACTGTATTAGATTTTTTTAATTGTTTTGGCGCAATTTTCACAAGCAATTGGTAAATTTTCAAAACTCTTAGTACTAATATCACAACAGATCATCAAAAGTGCACTTTTTTCAAACATTTCAGCATATTTTCAATTGTGTTGGTACATGTACACAATCACAAAATATCCTTTTCACTACACAAAATAAGTGTTTCATCTATATAAATGTTTCATTCACAGCAACTGCCTTTAATAAAACTATTACTATCAAAATGTTCATTTGCATGACTTCTCATTCGGTTTAATACATTTGTCTATTATTGATCTAACTCATCTTAATGGTTAATCAGTGAATCATTTGGTGCATCTATATATAGATTCAAAAGATATATATAGTTTATATAGAACGTGATTGCATTTTCGGAATAACCGTTGCAATGAATGATATATATAGTTTATATAGAACGTGAGTGCATTTTCGGAATAACCGTTGCAATGAATTATTTTTACACTAAAAGTGATTTATCTAAGATGATAACCACT